ATATATTAGGATAATGTAAAGGTCCCAAATTCAAATCTTTGAGATTGTGTCTAGGGTTTGTGATAATTCAGTCTAAACTTTCTCTGAGGTGTTCTATAAAACAAGCCCATTTCTTTAGTTTCAACTTTCAACACATATATGTTATATATTGTTAAGATTAGAAGTTATTTTTTTAATAAACATTTGAATAGAGTTTTGCAGCTTCAATTCGTTCAGCCTATTTGACCTGTTGCTATTTTAGTGTTTCTTTTTATTATACTCATTTGATAAAATATAACCCGTTTATAGGTAAATAGACCGAATTTCTCCCTCTATGCTTATGTCAGGAATTAGGTATGCACAATACACCATGCTTGCAACCAAGAAAATTGTGAAAGTGAGACACCATGCTTTCAAGAATGTGATGCATAAAATAAAATACCAGTGGATCACATGAGATGACATTTTCAAAGGTTAAACTGAGGGACTCCAGTTCAGGACAATATTCGAGGGCTTGGATGAGTCGTTCAGCAGTAAATTCATCAATTGATGAGTGTAGCTCCAAAGTCTTCAGATTTTGTAGAGCCAGATCATGTGCATCATCAATCCACTATAATAATGATAGCAAGTAGAGTTATTAATCATGGTAACAAATAGGCATATGGGTACACAATTGATAAAGATTTCATGAAAAACAAGTAATGATGCAATTTAATCAGGACTCAGGAGTATATACAATTTAAATACAAATTTTGGAAAGAAAAAAACATCGATCGAGAAACCTCTATATATCAGCCATTCACTCCATTTGTCTGGTAAAAACTGCAAAATTTTCGTTTTTGGCAAGTTTTCGAGCTAAAAACTACATATTCAGCCCTTACTGTGATGCTATAGATTTTGATCCATTATTTCCTCTATTAACTCGTTCTTTCTATATTAGCTGAAATAACAATATGTTCATGAAGAGAATAATTAAACATTTACCTCGGGCAAGTAGTCAAGGTTAGTACTAAAAGATTACAAATGAGAAAATTCATGAAACAGCTTATTAAATATGGCGTCGCACTCGGGATAAAATACAGCTTCCTTCAATGAGTATAGACATTCAAAGATATAACTTGAAGCTACTTCACCTTTTAAATCCAGATACACCAGTTTTGGGCATGAAAGCTTAAGAGAACTACACAAGTAGTACTTACACCAGTTAAGAAGTGTCAGCTTCTTGAGGTTTGGACATGAGATACAAAGAAGATCAAGTTTGTCTACCACGCACTCATACAACGTCAAATCCTCCAGCAATGGGCAGCTTTCAAGAAAAAAATATTTCACTAAATCATTGTCAAATAACTCAACATTTTCCAACTTAAGAACCCTAAGTGCAGGAAACCCAGAAATTCTAGGCAAGATTACACGAAGTCTACAAGACAACCTTAATACCTCCAAAGACGTGCAAGTCATAAGACAATGGGGTATCACCATATCCTCAAAGTACTTCTCCTTGGGCTCAAAACTCAAGTCAAGTTGTTTGACGTTTTTCATAATGGTGGCGTGAATCCACCGCTCTACTGTCAATGTTCTGTAGGAATCCCAACCAGATAAACGAAAACAATCCAAATCCACGGATCTGTTTAACAAAACCCAATAAACAAATTCTTTGAATTTGCTCTTTTGCAATTTTGCTAAGGGTTTTAAGTCTAGAGAAGGAACTGATGTCCACAAATACCTCCATCGTCTGGACAAAATGCTTGTTCGGATTTGTTCTTCGGTAGATGGAAGGCCCGAGAGAATTAGAAGAAGAAGAGGATCTGGCAAGTTGCTGATCAAATCAACCCCATCTTCATGTTTAGAAGCCTTTCGCTGCACGGAATTGTTCATGCCTTTGGTGATGTGAACAAAAAAAAAAAGAATCACCACAGTTCTATTGATCTATCTCGCAGCCTCTACAGAAAGTAAGAAAACTTAAGTTTTCGTAATAGAAGATATATTGAAGTAAGGAAGAAGAGGGTTCAACCAATTGAAGAGATAAAGAAACGGTATTTTGGTAAGTAATTTTCAAAGAAAGAGTACAAATTTAGCCAAATATCTTAATGATATTCGTGGAGAATCGAAAAAAAAAATTCAAATTATATTTTTAGAGTAAATTCATCTGCGAACATAGTAAAAAAACCCAAATTACATTTTTACTATATGCTTTACCGACTTGTATGTTCGTAGGTGTTTTTTTTAGTTTTTTTTTTATTTTTTTCCGTATAAATACCCCAATCTCTAACTAAAATCGCAAATTAAGTAAGTTCATCTACGATTTCCTCTCATCCCACCGGCAATTTTGCGTTTTTTTAAAATTTTTTTAACAACGAAATTAATAGGATTTGACTACGAAACAACCTTATTATATATAAAGTTTTGCAAAAAATTATCACTTTAGATGTTATTATTTTGGAAAATTTGTTTAAAATCTCTCTAATAAAATGAATTCGTCCATAGTGCCTCTAGAGAGAAAGTTCTCCAACAAAAAGTTTGAAAAATGAAAGAAAAAAATTTACGTTTTTATATCCTTGAAAAAGGGGAAATCACAGATGGACGCAAAATCACAGATGGACAAGTAAAATCATAGATGGACCGAGTTTGGTGGCTATTTTTGTAATTTGAGTTATTTTTTGGCTATTTTTCACAAAGTATTAGACTATATTTGTAATTTTCTCTAATTTATAATATTAGATAAGCCAATTAATAAAAAAATGATATAATCCTAATTAAAATACGATTGTGGATATTGATGTAATTTTAATAGTTTTAGACGGATATAGACGTAATTTTAAAGTTTATAAGGATATTGAAGTAATATTCAAAATTTACAAGGATTTAAATGAAATTGTCCCAATTTTTTAAATATACGTTATACCTAAAATATCACAACTAACAAAAATATTGCATTGAAACAGACCAATTTTCAGAAAAATTTTAAACTTTTAATTTCATAAATATCATCCATAGGAAGTACAAAAATCCCAATACATATCCATATTATTTGTAAATTCATAGTACAAAAACCTAAATGTGAAAACACTGGAGAATGCACGCCATGTCATCAAGTCGGGCCCTTGCCCTTATCAATAGAAGTACCTGAAACATTCAATAAAACTGTAAGCACAAGCTTAGTGAGTTTCTCAATCACACAAATCAATATAATCACATAATGTTATGCTCATACATATACATACAAGTTTGCCATGGACTCCCTCTATGGTCTTCAATGGAATGTCATGGGCTACCCCCATGGTCTTATATCCCGTTCCATGGGCTCCTCCCATGGTCTTCATATAAGCCCACACATAGATCAAATAGCAAACCATTACACATTCCAATACTAATCATCTCATATCAGTTAATGGGCTGGCCTTGGTGCCTTCGACCCATGAGTGTGGTGAGAAGACTTACCTCAATACTAAACGGTAGCTGACTAGATCGGGACACCAAATATCCGCTCTACATAAACCCTATAACAGAAACAATTCCTTAAATAAAACTCAAAATGTCCTAAAACCCCTTAAAGGTCAAACTTAGTCAAGGACTGAGGTCAAAAGTCAAAGTCAACGCCCTGAGTTGACCCAATTCGCTGAGTTGTCCCTCAACTCGTCGAGTTTCTCCATCATCTGAACAGATCGGGATAAATCCCATCAACTCGTCGAGTTCACTAATGAACTTGTCGAGTTGGCCAGAAATCCAACCTCTTAAAGCATTAAGCTAATACCATCGAATCTAGGGACTCCAAATCTCAGATCTCATCCTTGATGATGTCTAGAAGGGTAAAGTTTCCAACTTTACCCTTAGGAACCATCCAATAAGAAGCAAACCCAAACCCTAGGCTCTTTAGAGTGAGTCTTAATCCATTAAGCCCTTGAACTATCCCAATATAGTCCCAAAACACATATCTAGAGTCCAAAGGTCGGATAATCATGTAAAGTTTCCAACTTTACGTCCATGTAAGCTAGAAATACACTCTAGAGCTTAATAAGGACTTAATGAGCGACTTATTGCATGAATGGGGCTTGGAACTAATAAAGTTTGCAACTTTCAGCCATGAGAAGTCATGAAGGGGTTAGATCTAACATAATAGCCCCTGGAACCTTCAACATCTTGGCTAGCCCAACCAAAATCCCAAAATCATGCTAAAACTTCCAGTAAAGAGATCTAAATGATAACAAAGCAAGATGTCGACTTTATACCTTAAAAAGACTGCTATTGAAGAAGAGTTTTTGGATCCAAGGTTCTCCTTCCAAGCTAGGTACTTCCGACTTCAAAGCTTCTTCCAAACAATCACCAAAAATCAACTTTCCAAGCTCACACACTCAAACTTGCAAGGTAATACACGTATCTAGGGTTTCTGGACAGGGGAGGCTGGTAAGGAGGCCAACCAAGGGGGTTTAAGGTCTTTAAATAGGATGCAAAACCCAAAAATTAGGGTTTTCCTCACAGCCGCCAACTCGTCGAGTTAGGACTCCCCGACTCGCCAAGTTGGATCATTAAAACCCACGACCACAAACCTTCTCAACATGATGAGTTGGAGCTCCCTAACTCGTCGAATTCCAACAATAATTTTTAAATATTTATGAAATTTTATACCCGAACCAAGCATTACATACATAACCGTCATAAAATTTAGAGAAAATTACACGAATGGTCTATATGATTTAGGGTCATTTGCATCTTTGGTTCCTAATTTTTTTTCTTTAACTCAGACAGTCCTTAAGATATGTTTTTGGTGTGTCTTTGGTTACACATAAAAAGAATATTATGTCCTTAATATTTTTTTCTGATTTATTTATTATTTTTAATTTTAAAAAATAAAATAGACCCTTCTCCCTCACTCCCAACATCCACCCACCAATACCTCTCAGTCCTTTAAGATCCTCTCCATCCTCATCGATTCAAGTTGTAGTTGACACTGCCATCTCCAATTCAAAATCCATATACAAAGTCCATTTAAGAAAAAAAATCAGTAAATTCAAATACATTATTATCATTAAACCCAATTTCTAAAAATATTTGAAAATAATAATCAAATATCCAATATGCATTCAATATCACTTCCCAAATGTGATTTCCAAAATCTGGATGTTTTTGCTCTTTATCTTTGATTTACCCCTGTACATATAGTTAACAGATGGTGATTTCTTTCTAGCTAACAACATATGACGATTTCTTAATTTAAATGCAAGTGATTAGTGAACTTCATTAGGGTGGGTTGCGAGATCAATTATGGTGAACTTTCCACACCTTCATCGACTGGATCCGTTAAAAGGGACATGTAAACTTTCCGAAAAAGGAGGAGAATCCATATGGGGTGGTCGGAGAAGAGAGATAGACAGATGAGACGAGAGGATGAGTACCTTTGATATCATTCTTCCCCTGCCTCTTTTTTACCCTCTTTCTGCATCTCCGATATATTTGTTTCCGATGAGCAAGAAGCCCTATGGGGTGGTAAGAGAAGATGAATTGATGAGGTAGGCTCAAAAGGGGTGGAAGAGAAGAGACATAGGGTGTGGGTTTAATCTTGGTGGGTTTCATCGGTGGTTGCAGATGGTGATTCAAGTGAAAAAGATGACAATTTTCTGGTGGCTTCATCTTGTGCAGGTAGTTGACGGTAGATGCAAGACAAGAGGTTGTTAGAGAGTTTGAAACAAAGGTTTCTAGGCAGGAGATGTAGTTTCCCTCCACAACTCTTATTTCTAGTAAGCTAGTAGCCTCCAATGGTGGATGTCGTTTTGGAAGAAGTTTCAACCATAGACGGGGTGGGTTGGGCATAGGCGGTAGTCCAAATGCTCTAAGAGAATATAGAAACAAAGTAAGCAATGGTCTGGAAGTGATTTAGGGTGATCTCCAGAAGTGGATGTGGTGGTCTATCTGTAAGTCCCAAATCTGCTTGTGTATCAATCAGATCCGTTTGATGGTGCAGAATCCCAATCAAACGGATGATGCCAGATCAAAATAGAAGATAAGTAGAAGAAGAATAAGTGAATATGTGATGTATTCAATGAATAGAATGATGCTCCATACACATAGTACACACACATACACTAGTTCTTCTCTCTCTGAAACACACCTTGAGTTTCATACACTTAAGCTCCTCTAGACCGTACACTCTCTCCTAGCCTTACACACTCATATGACTCTACTAACACTATTTATATGAGACAAACAACCGCAAATGGGTTCACGGCCGTAAACACCCATACAGCCGTAAACTAGACTGCAAAAATATAATTGCCTAGAAAAGTAAAGTATAAACCATATTTTTGACCCAACAATCTCCCCCTTGGTTTATAGCTTTCTTTTCTAATTGACCCAACAAACTCCCCCTAAAATTGTAGCTGGCTTTTCTTGTCAATCTTCATTGGGAGCTTGGCTTCAGCGTTTATCTTCGATTTCTTCACAGCTTCAAGATGAACTTGATGAATCTTCAATAAATGACTTCATCTTGAGCTGTTGAGCTTTTCTTCAAAATTTGACTTTGAACGAACATTGGGTGAGGAGGCTTGATGTACTGATTCTTGAAAGATAGCGCTTTCAGCTTCAGAATCTTCAGAGAGAACAATAGAGAGATCTAATCTTCTGGATCACTTCAACAGGTTCATAGATAGCAGCAAATTGATTGTTGAGTAGGCTTCAATGGAATATGTCACATAATCTTCAAGAACAACTTCACCTTGCTTCTGGGGTTGAAGGATTGAATGTTGAAAGAATAATCTTCATTTCTTGCTCCTTCGAATGAGAATTCTTTGATGATCACGGATGAAGCCTTGGCTCAGAAATTTTCGACACAGACTCCATGAATTTCATCTACATCTGAATTCACTTTTCAAGACAAAACAAAC